GGTTTGGGGTTTGGGGTTTGGGTTAAGGATTTAGGGTTTGGGGTTTGGGGTTTGGGGTTTGGGGTGACCCTAAACCCTAAACCCTAAACCCTAAATTGTGGGAGTACTCTTGTATTGATAGAACCAGCATTCTGAATGTCGCATTCTCGTAGTAGAACTACACTCTTTCTAGCAGATCATGGTTCACGACACTGTCGTTCATTAGAAGCTCAGTTTGCACGATCAAGATCATGACGGATATCAAAGCCGCTGAAAAACTGAAGTGCCCAAGCGCCCCTTATCGGAAACCCCTCGCTGCCCCACCCTACACCCTAAACCGTCCCACCCTACACCCTCAACCCTGAACCGTCCCACCATAAACCGCCCCACCCTAAACCCTAAACTGTCCCACCCTACACCCGAAACCCTAAACCCTAAACCCTAAACCCTAAACTAAACCCTAAACCCTAAACCCACAGAATCCCAGTGACAAGGGCGTCCGCGGGTCTGCGTATTCGCCCAGCGAAGGCAGAGGGCCCAGGTAGGGACCATGGAGAACCTGGTGGGTTACATATCATCTGTTATTCGAGCATATTATATAGCATACTATAGAAAATTATGATATAGATTATTACATATCACGGTATAGTACATTGTATGCCAGTAATCTGTATCATGATAGACCATGGAGAACCTGCCGGACGGAGACTCCCTCGAAGTTGCAAAGAAGATTCTATTCGGTCTAGGGTTCAGGGTTTAAGGGTTCATGAGGGTTCGGAGGGTACTTCGAGGTAGCGTTAAAAGTGTTTTGAGTGGGGTTGTGGGCGACCTGCGCTGTTGCTATTCACGTTGTCGTTTTTGCTGTCGTTGCCCACTTTCAGGGTATAGAGAATCACAACTGCTATCAATATGCAACTACTCTCCATGTTGATCACACTCTGTTTGTTGTTCATCTTCGTATGATTACAGACCTTGCTTTTGAATGCCTGAACCCTCACTGGGGTGTTGTCACGAACTCAAGTCAAGCTACCGTAGTAGAGCTACATGGCACAAGAAGCACTGGTTCCCTCATTGTATATCGCGCCGTAAGTTTAGCCCTACCGACCCTAAATCGATAGAACCCTCAAAGAGCCCTCACAGAGAACCCTGGCAGAACCGCCATGAAGTCCCTAGGGAACACTGCACACTTACAAAATTGTCATGGAACCCCCCCTAAACACCTAAACCCCTCGACCCTGAACCCTTTCAACCCCTTGTAATGGTTAGAATAGGGTTTTAGGGCCCAGTATACTAGAATCATAATAAGGAACCCCCCCAAAATACTATACTGGTAACTATGTGGGTAATTCTCTAAGTTAGGGTCCTTTTCTAGTTCCCCAATATGGTACGGCACCCTTATAAACAGGACCCCAAAAGCGACCCTATTTTAGAGAACAGCCCATGTAGGCTTCTACCCAGACCCCCAAAAGGATCTAAAAAATAGATCCCCTAATTAGGGACCCTAACTACTAAAGGGTACTTTATAGGAACCACCTTAGGGGATCTATTTT